AAATACGTATTTCAAATACTTTGTGTATTTTGCATTTGTATTTAATTACAAATTGGGTAATGTATTTTACGTGCGTATTTAAATACTAAAACGGGGGTATTTCAAATACAATTGTAATTAAATACAATTTTGTGGGCGAAAATACATTCCTCAAATTTATTCTCACGACTCATTTCGCTCATCCTAAGACGTGTCAGCAGGAAGAAAACTATGTTCTGCACCGAATGCAGTGTCTCAATCAAGCACAAGCGTTTAGTGACTTTGTGATTATGGTGCTAGTCCAGGACAAGAATAGTGACGGAAGCGACGTTCACAGGCAGACTGGCTAAATAAGTGCCTGTGACAACTTGTGATGCTTTCCAGCATGATTTCCATCCCTATTTTTGCCTGGAACATCCTAAATGCGCGGGTCGTCCAGATTTTTGTAACTTGTGCGAGTTGCAATAATAAAAAGTTTTCTATCTAGTGCTGCGCGTCTTGGTCGTCTCGGTTCTTTGTTGGTCTACACCAAGATGTAATCGACAAAAAAAGCTGCTTGAGGCTCTGTATTTTTTCACCTATTACGTCCAAGCTGATTAAATTTTTTTTTTGTGATTATATTTCTATTGTGTTAGTAGAGCCTCGCACACTAACTCCCGAGTGTGCGATGCAAAATTAAAATGAGATACCCCGAAACCCGTTGCAGGTGCCCTGAAGTCGCTGACACAAATTTTGAAGAATGTATTTGGAAAAGTATTTGGAGGAGACCAAATACATTTGGTTGTATTTGTATCTTGTATTTAAATGCTTTTATGGAGATGTAATTAGATTTGTAATTAAATACATTTTTGACGAAGTATTCCGTATTTGTATTTCGATACATATTTACGTGTATTTTGCCCATCCCTGTTTATAGCCAAGACTTGTTTTGTCTTTTGTATGTGGTTATTTTTGAGATGGTCATGTCTTAGTTTTGCTCGGAGCTTTTTTACTGATGCTAAGAACACCCTCAGGGATTGGTTGGCAAACTGGCCCCAGAATGCTCTAGCCCCAATATAAGCAACGGCCAGAAGCCCGCAGAGAACTTGACTCCTGGATAACAAGCCTTGAACATCACCCTTCTTCTGGAGTCCAACCAGCACGTCCGATCCCCTTCGGCTGTGGAGTTCGCCTGCTAACTTGCAAACTTGAAACCCCTCCACAGCCGCAGGGGAAGCCGCAAGGGCAGGTGAAGCCGCAAGAGGTTTGGAGTATTTCCTCCAAATTCTATTAACGAATTGTCCATTGCGTTTCAAAAGGGGTTATGTCATATTCGTGGTATAAACAGGTATATTTAAGCCGATTTGCTCAATGAGTTAGGAACAAAGAAACACAGTTTTCTTGGTGACAGTATGTCCACGCACTGGCGGTGAACTCACTGTTAGGAAGCAGGAACGACTATGAGGCAGTGTAAGTGAAAATCAACAGTTTTACGTAGCAAAAAACGTAATCACAATTTGACGTGACAATTAGATAAAAGAAGATGTTGCCCTGTGCATGACCACACACACAACTTTCTCTCTACCGCGTAGGACGAAGTACGACCAATACAACAACAAACAAAATGCTACTGAGACGCCTTTGGTCTACTTTGTTTCCTGCGTTTCAACATCCTCGCTACTGCCGTCCCTCTCAAACTCGCCGTGGCATTCAGCCCAGATCAGGCCTTCGCGCACAATATTAATGAAAAAAGTAATGGGTGCCCAAATCGTCCGCTCGTCTTACATTCGCGCCACGTTGCACGCCACGACAACCTACGGCCCCGGACAGATGCCCAGCGGTTGTGCTGGTCCCCACCCAACGAGAGAATTCAACATCGGAGCTCGAATTCTCGAGAGTTGTGTCACGGGCTCTTCCGGTTAGACGAAGGAATCCGTGGGGTCATGCGACATGCCCCGAGTTATAAATTGGCTCGGGTATGTTATGGCAAAACAGAACTCACAATTAGAGTGTTATCTTACTACTTAAAATAAAGAAAAAAAAAACAGTTTTGTTTTCTCACTTACACTGTTTCGTTTTTGTTCTAGTCGCGTCATAGTAAGTTCACCATTAGGACGTGGACATATCCCTTGAGTGCATGATATACCAATATATTTATAGAATCGCAGACACGCCCGAAATCTGTAATCTTGCCAGTTTTTCTTGCGAAATACAAACGGACGTTTCCCAATATTGGAGATTCAATCGAGGTCAAAAATACAAAATATTATATTAGTAAATTGTGATCCTCGGTAAAGAACTGTCTTTTCTAAGACGACGCAACAAATAAAAAATAAGAACACTGATTTATTTGTTTTTAATTCATATCCAACTTTATATTTTTTCCAGATTTTACGATTTTTAAGTGATGATATTCAAATAGATAATGAGAACAACTGAGGAGATTAATATTTTTATAAAAGTTGTTTTGCGCCTTCCATGGACATAAAATAATATATAGAACAGGGGTGGCCAAACCGCGGCTCGCGAGCCGCATGCGGCTCTTCGCTGGTCCAAGTGCGGCTCGCGGATCCCTAGTAAGGAGACCCCCCCCCCCCCCCCCCTTTCGCCCCTTTCCGCGTTTCCCCAGGATGAAAAAAAGGAAGGAATTCAGAATAAGGCACACTGCACCTGGCAGTTTGACAGCCTTGTACTCCCATACGTACAGTCGTACAGCCTTGTGCCCCCATACGTACAGTCAGACTCTAAAGAAAAGTTAAGTTTGCCCCCCCCTCCCCCCCCCCCCCCCCGCGGCTCTTAGAAGTTCCGTGGTTTTGTTTGCGGCTCTCAGGCCAGGCCGGCCTGGCCACCCCTGATATAGAATTTAAGTAGGTCGCAGACAGCAGCCTCTCAAAATTCATAAGTCGCGTTACCGGAAATGCTCCTGTCTTTTAGGTTCAATCTATTTCTAAACTCTCACCACTGTCCCGTATGCAGATTTTATTTAATAGAATCGCATCCTCTAGCTTTGACATTGTCTCAGATCTCTCAGTTTTTCGCCGGAACTTGGCAAGTCTAGTTGAAATTTGAAACTGTATTACATTTTGTGTGAAGTGAGCCCCCTATTTGTGGTCATGTTAATTTGTACCTTTGATGCTGTGCGTGTGTTGTTTCTTTTCATCTTGTGTGCGCCACTGTGAAGACTAGCGTGGTTGTTTTTGGGCACAGAAAATAAACATTATTTTATTATTATTATAAATATGCGACCATAGAGGTGAGTTTTACCATAACTTCAAGCATATGTAAAGGCCTTAGGAATATTTCAATAAATAAAGACCTCTTAACGGTACCCACCGTGTAAGGAATAAAAATGAAAATAACGTGAATGCAAAACCACGGGGGCAGAGTGGATCGAACATGCAACATTCGGCAGTCGGAAAAACGCTCATTTTCACCGTGGCCCCTTCTGCACTCCAGAAATCGGGAACAAAAGGTTTTCCGAACCTTCGACTTGTGCCATCCTTTTAGGTACATAACTCCCTGCAACACACATTTCTTTCATGAAAATTAAATGCTCCACGCTTTTTGCCTGCACCATTTCAGATAAAATGACCCATATACATTTTAGTTCAGTTGTATTACATCAGGGTGCTCGAAGAAGAGCATTTTACATTAGTGGGACAGTAGCTACAACATAACGTACACGACAATAAAAAAAAGCAGAAATTGATTAAATATAACTGTACACACTTCACAAAATGTTTTTACACATGGCACGAAATATCTTTTTATCAGTTTCATGGATAATGAGCGTGGGCAAATAGTTCCAGTCGGCAATGGTAAGGGAAAGCGGAGTGTTTTGAAGTTTGTTAGTTCTGAAAAAGGGAGGACGTTAAGAGAATAATCATGCGCTTGGAAATGTGAGATGGGTCTTGGAGGTGTAGCTGCGGAACTCATGGTGAATTCCGCTCGCAGATCTCGAGCGCTCCAAAAGCGCTCCATTTGGAGCGCGCATATTCCGCTCGCAGATCTGGCTCAAGTTGGTCATCTTCCGCTCGTCTCTGGCAGCGCCCGCTCCACGGAGCGCCCCAAACTCCGCCGAACTTGCTCTGCGGGATTTCACAGATCTCTCCGGAAATTGACAGAGCGGCCCACGTGATTTCCGTCTAAATCGGCGGTGCGCATGCGCGGCGAGGTTGGAGAGATCGGCGGGCCGGTCGGGCCACGATCGGGTCGTGGAGTTGGATCTGTTCGGGTGCGTCGGTTGTTTACTGTGGACTGTGACGGCTGGAACGCTTCTACCTCGCGTAGATCAGGGATAAAAAGCCGGGAATGTGGAGCGTGGCAAATCGTAAGCGCTGACATCTGTGATCACCGAGGAAAAACGTAAAAAAGAACGACAGAAAAGCCGGAGGCAGACGCAAGGTTAGGCCTATTCATTCTGCAGCCAGTGATTGTTTACCTTTTTACACTGCATTACATCGGCTTTTTCCCGTGAAATAAAGCAAGAAGTGGTTAGGCAACGACCGCGCAAGTGATGGTTTGTTACCTCTGTGTTTATTAAAGTCGTACTAGCAATCTGAACTCCACCGCTGGCAATCGCTGTCCGTGCCCCGCCGCTTCGAGGCGGCCGAAAGGTATGTGACGGTGCCGAACGCGGACGTCTTCGCTATTTGTGACATGGGCGCCGTGGTACGTATAATTCCGCCCGGCCTGTGTCGCGTGTTACTTCTGCAGCTAAGCAGTGACAGTCGTCACTGGTCGTCGGAAAGATCAGCCTGCTGAGGCGTTGGTGGGCTGGTCAAGTTCGAGCAGCGGCCATTTTGAACGGCGGAAGGAGAAGGGGAGGGGAGGGGTGTGGTGGAGGTCGCTCCAAAAATGCAAGTTTATCTTCCCCTCGTCGATACGGAGCGGGTCCCACGGAGTGGAATTTTGCCTCCCTCGCGGATTTTGGAAAGCGCTCCAGATCTACGAGTGGAATTCACCATCAGATAACGAAGAGTCTATTTCATGAAATAAGACATGACGGGCAATTTTGTTTTTACGGGTTAGTAAACTAGGTGTTTTTTTTTTTTTTTCAATAGCTGTGACACTTGAAGATATGGTTAGTCTCGAGTAATGTAACGTGATGCTTTATTCTGAACAAATTCAAGTTTGTTAATAATTCATGCTTGATGAGGAGACCAGATGATATAAACATATTCTAGATTCGAACTGACAAATGTTTTATATTTTGTGAGTTTTAGGGTCTTTGATGAGCTAAAAAGATTGCGTTTAATGAACCCTAGTGCTTTACATGCACACGGCACGGTGTTAATAATGTTGTCATTCCAAGTGAGGTCCTCCGCAAATATGAGTCCTACTGGTAAGTTCTTTTTCTGTCGGCGAGGTTGAGTGCATACTTTCTTAGTGAGGAAGAAGGTCGGCTGAGAAATGAGTCATATTTTGTCTTCATTGTGTCAAATTTTAGTTGCCATGTGTTGTACCAAAGTGAAATGATGTTAAGATCCTCTTGTAACAGTGCTTCATCTGAGTTAGTGATGCGACGATAAATAACACAGTCATCCGCAAAGTGCCTTTTGTGAGATTGTAAATATAGTGGGAGGTCTTATATATACTTCAAATAAAAGTGGTATCAACAGGCTTCTCTAAGGAACCCCCAATTTCACTGATGATTTAGTAGACTTTTGCAGCTTACGTAGCCTGCTTATGGTTAATGAGTACACTTTCAATCCATTGTATGATAACAGAATGAATGTTTAGCTATAAATCCGGAATCGAAGACTTTAGCAAAATCCGTGAAAATGGCATGAGTAGTTTTGAAAGAATCAATGATCTCGCAAATAGCGCAAAACCTTCGCTCTAATGAAATGCAGTTCGAGGGTGACATCATAGATGACTCCAGTGAGCTAATGTGTACTCTCGTTATAAGAAATCTGATGAGCTCTTTTCTAAGCAAACTAAAATGTGCGAACGGGCATTGAGGATACAAGGGTATTGACCGACGATCCTAGAAAACCTTCCTCCAGAGATCGCACACATCGTTCCAATACACGCGAACCTCCGTGAAGTTGTTGGCTGCCAGCAACATTGCAACAGGTGCATCCTTTGTGTATTTCCGCCACGTGTCGACGCCTGGCAGCTCAGGGGTGCTGCGTAAACAAATAAGACAATTAGGTAATATCGAATTCACCTAAAATACATCATTTAATTATTCGAAAGATGGATATAATTGATTTCATTGGTGGTGCTTTGACTAATTGTTGTACATGTTTTTAAATGCGGTATCGCATATATTTCATTAATATTAGGTGTCCAAACCCCAAAAAACAAGAAAATATTTCAATGGGCGATGTTGTTATCACCTCTGCAAAATAATTCAATCAATCTCATAAGTAACTTATTCTTGCCAATATTTGCCGAATTAGTTCGTATTCGCTTAAACGGTCGAAACTGGATTGCTGATTATTTTTTCTTGATACCAGATTCAGAATAAAATAGCAATCATTAGTCTAGAGCCGAGACATTACGCGCTCTTTTTTCTAAGAGATGTCATTAATAAAGGATGATTGTTCTCCACAACAATAAATTTTAATGCGATATATTTTTATAGCTTTAATAATTATCTTGCCCAGTTGATTTTATTTCGTGGTTAATAAGCAATGCATAATATATTATTAGGACAATTACAAATGTTATGTGTATTATTTGCTTAGGCTACTTGGCGTGTAAAGCGGTACAAACCGCTGCTCTTCTTAGTATCTATACGATATTTTAGTCACTGTTGATTAACAATGACCGCGAATTTGATTACTGATCTCTTTAAGCACCATCTTTAACTCACTGATACGTTACCTGGAGCGGATACCTCAAGGAAGTCGCATGTTAAAAGGTGGAGGAACTACGTTGAACCATATTTCTACTTCACGGAAGTTAATTGGTCGATGAATATACCAACCTACCCTGTTTTTGCGAATGATGCAAGCATTGTGACCACGTCCTCGCAGAGCTCCCTGTCTTCGTCTGTGTAGCCAGCATCGTCATTAAAGGGTAGCGCCAAAAAGTACGGAACGTCCGAGTAGTGAGGGGCGCGCACCCATGATGGAAGCCCATCCTTCTTTGATCTATGAGCAAAAATGTAAAAATAGACGGGGTTTCCTCTTGCTGAGTGCTTCTCGGCAGAGAACTGTGCAGGGCAGTTGAATGCTCTGTCCGACATGTAGTCTATATAAGCCCGCCTCAATCCTTCCTTATCTTCAGGAGGTACCTTGTCCTTATATTCTTCAAGCAGACTAGTGATGTCGGACTTGGTCCAGGACAGCACGGACCTGCGGAGTGCGTCATCAAGGCCGTCTTGCGCGATGTCTGCTAAGGATTCTGTCAATAGTTCTGGGGTGTGAGGAAACTGGAGCGACATGGCTCCTTCGTCCGTCGTCACTCCCATGAGGACCTCCACGTCTTGGAAGAAGCCACGGTCTATGGCAACCCTCGGGACTTTCGGAATAAATTGGTCGTTGTACGTAGGAAAGAAGCTGAATACCTTCGGCTTTGACACTTCGGTTGAGGCCAGGACCAATTCGTCCACCTTTTTTGACCGTAAGCACTGCAGAACTTGGTCGGGGTGGGACACGAGATCCCTGGCCGGTTCCGCACAACCAACCAGCTGAGCAACCTTGTTTCCCTTGATGATACTTTCGTGGGTACTGTCGAAAAAATCGATAGTGTACAGATTACCACTCATCATCACCGCTCTCTTGAAGAGCCCTTGGCTCATAGGTGATAAAATATGACTGTGAACGCTCATGCCTCCTACACTGTCGCCGAAGATAGTGACCATGGAAGGATCTCCTCCGAAGGCTTCGATGTTGTCGCGCACCCACTTCAGCGCCAGATTCTGGTCCAAGAGTCCCTGGTTACCAGGAGCATCTGGAGAGTTGGCGTTGAGAAAGCCCAGCACGCCCAGGCGATAGTTGATGGACACGACCACAAATCCCGTCTTGGCAGCCAAAACTGAACCGATGGAGTTCTTGTCAGACCCGCTACCAAAGCTGAAACCACCCCCGTGTATCCAGACAAGGACAGGGCTCTTCTGTGCACTTTTGGGCATCCATACATTCAGATGAAGGCAGTCTTCTGTGTGTGTCAGCGGTTTCTTTACGTCGCGGTTTTGCGGACAAACGCTGCCTCCTGTCGTAGCGTCGTAAGTTCCTTTCCAAGGCGAGCGAGGAACGGGCTCTTTGAACCGCAGATCTCCAGTTGGCGGTTCGGCGTACGGAATTCCCAAGTACTCTTCTATCACAATGTCTAGAACTTTCCGCCGGTTCCCTCTCAGCGTTCCAAGCTTTGTTTTTCTTTGTACATCATTGGCTTGACAGCATGCTGCGGTGAGAAGAAACGCAGTCCAGACTACGTTTATCTTCATTATAGTTTCTGAAATATGCAGAGGCGAAGTGTTGGTTAGAACTCTCATCTGTGATTGTTAGTATAACAATAAATTAAAAATGATGTGCAGTTCTCGCGAGCGCTGATATTTTGTATCCCGTATCAAGACTTCTGAATCTCCGAGGCGACAGATCTGAGTCTAGTGCGTAAGTTCAATCACTACACGGTTGAACATTGCGCAAGATCAGTAGTGAAATTTCACCTTAGGATGTTTGACCCTTGGAAATGCACAATCACTAATATATACTAGATTAATACTTATAAACTATTGTGGAAAGTATAATGTAAGTTTATTTCTTATTTACTAACAGTGAAATAAAACATGCATAAATATGAAGGTCTCAATAGTCAGGACTGGTCGAGAGGGATAGATCTTCATTGAAATTACAGTATAGGTAACTTAAAAATATCCTGAACGCACAATGGTACTATTGAGTATAGAGTGGAGTATACTTGCTATATATGAAAATATGCTTTTAAATGTACACAATGAGTACTTTTTTATTGTATTGCCTTCTACGAAGGGAATCCTAAATTGACAAAATTGTCACCTAAAAGTTGAAATGCATAGGGGCGAAGTAATGAAGCCAATTATTAGCATATGACGCCGTGATAGAAATAATGTAGAGTAAGAAACAATAATATCTTCTACCAATCCATTATTTGCGTTTAGGAACAACTGCCAAACCGAGGAAGGCCAGCGCTCTCGTTGTAGCTGGCTCATAAAATCTGAACACCGAAGCGTCTTCATATCTTTATGGCGAACGCAGTTTAATGTTAGCGTTTATGACACATCCTGTGTCCAAGCCGCTGTTGACTCCATAACTAAGAGAAATAGCTTCAAAGCAGAACACGAAGCCTTTGAAGGGAAATTACAAGAGTTGGTTTTGTCTACGTATTTGCTCTGAACGGACTCGTGGGTAGCATTCTTGTTTGTTTGAGGTGAGATTAGACCATATTATATTTTAAATGGCAGCTGGACAGTCCCGTATTGACGCTGGATAATAAAAACAAATATTATTATCTTATGAAACTGTCGCAAGAGATCATTCAATAAATACTAATTCCAAAAATGTACACAGTGAAGCTGAACATGATTTCGCGTTGTCCTGGCTGCTATAGTACGTTCTTCTTAATGAGTGAATTTAGTAACCTAGGAATCAAAATCACCGTTATTACATTTAGCATTATGAAATCTGTATATCAAATGTGACTGCATATGCCAACATAAATATTTGTTGTAAATACTGCCGTTTATAAAGAACAACCGTAACAGCGCACAACAAGTCAAACACTCGCAAACTCAGACACACCAAAAATATACAACTCGCCCAGTCAGCAGTCTTATCAGTGAAATATAAAATTTGTTCAATCAATTCAGTATCAGTGCTTCACTCGACAGCATTCTTATTGTAAATTACAAATTACTGCCGACTATTCACCACATTAGCTCCTCGTGCCAAACGTAAATGCATGAATCTAGACGCTGGCTCATAGCGGCAGCCGACGCAGCGGTAACGCTTCGCATCAACCTGTCAATGTCTTCTACTATTCTACTTTGCTCAAAGAAAACTTTAATAGCGCAGTTGAGTATAACGCCGGCCTCACTAAAGTTGCAGTGTGACTGCTTCATTTCTTTTAATGTTCAACACGAAATTTTTAATGACTTTGGTGTACCCTGCCCTTCTACGGAATCGCCCCTTCCTCTGTCGTCTATGTAATCTGCAAGTCAGATGATGGAAAACAATTTGACCGCATTACTAACTTCAGCAAATTAAAGTCATATCGCTAAAAACCCCACCGCAAAGCGCAAAAGCAAAAAGGGTTTCTTCGAAATCGATAAAAAAATTTACGCCGGCTAAAGACTGCTGCGTTGAAAGTCACATTTATCCCTAAAGCCTGACGCACTGGTAGCGCCTCTTCCCCAACCCCGCGTAAGATAATTTTAAAGGAGATGAGTGCGAGCCTACTGCGGTGATTAAAGCGCGGTTCAATTTTTTAGGGCGCCCTATTGTTTGAAGACCGCTGACTTTGCTGCGTTTCCATAGGATTTAAGCCTTTTTATTTTATTACTTTTTCTTCGGGTAAGTTCGCTCTTTGCAAATTTTATAGAAAAAATGCACCACCTGTGAGTAACGCTGCACAAAATCGTAGCGCGATAGATTAAGAAACCGAATTTTGCGGTCGATTTAAAGAACCTGGCCGATATTTGGGACACCCGGTAGAACGTGCGAATATGGCGTGCATATTATCTGCTCTTTACGCTTTTGTTTTCTGAAGCAGGCCAGCATTGCAATAAGCTTTCCCCGGAAGCCTATTTGTTCGGTACTGTTGAACTTACTTTATCTTCAGCGTCGACCTATCAACGCGAAGTGGGGCTCCTTCCTGTAGAAGTGGCGGCGGGACCTGGACTGTTACAGTGCGAGAAAGGCCGGCGCGCGTTCAACGCTAATCAGGAAGGTAGGACGCTTTATCGCGGCACATGCTGTCAAAGCTTTCTCTTAATCGCTATCGTTTCTCTTACGAACCCTGGCGTGGTCTTTCGCGTTATCTAGTTCTGTACCTTCCCCTACAGACCCACTGGAAGTAGTATAATATCTGTTTTGTGTAGCATATCAAGACTCGCTGTTCGGCAGTTGATGCATAATCTTTCAAGAATCTTGTAAGCAGGAACACAGACGCACACAAAGAACGGGACGCTGATAAGCTGGGTCTGTCATGCTGTCCCGAGGCTGTTGTATTTTTTTTTTTTAAGCTATTTGATTTAATGAATAAAACAACAACTTTGCACCGCTTTTGATTTGACTGCCCAACCGAATGCACCTTTTTGTGGTGGAGAATTAGCGCGGCAACTTTATTTAAACGGCAGTCAGAATGGATCTAAGGAATGATGGCTGGCCATAGTTTAGACGTTTGATGGGCTGGTTGTGTCCCTTTTATTTCTAGTTTGGGTGGGCTGTAGGTAAAATCAACCAACATACTCAGTCAAGTTATGAGGAATCAAGGAAAAGACTGCAACAAAATGTGTTGGCGCTCGTGTAGTAATGCAGCTGTTTAATATTTTCATCACTTCCGTGTTGTGACGCCTGGTAGCAAATCAGTGACATTAATTTTGACACCAGCACAAACTGTAGCCAACAAAGGACGAGATACTCCAGTGAGACGAGCTGGTTAATGAAAACATTATTCCGTCAATATGGCTAATTAGATATACCTCTTTAATTTTTTTTTTCTGATCTCTACTCGTCAACCTCGCCTTGCACAAAAAAAAACAACAAAAAAACACCACTATCGTGCCAGATTGTTTGGAGATGTTTTGACAAAAGTCAGGATTCTTCAGCTAAAAGCGAAAGTGCACAGGCGAGCTGGTTTCCGAAACATCATAATCCAATCCCAGAGAGATGGAGAACTATATATATAAATGTCGTCTTGTCCGCTCTTTTATTTTTTCATGTGCAGGGTAACGGTTTAGGTGGTAATGTTTCTTGAAATAACACTGGAAAATTCGGGTGCAGAAAAGGCCATCTATTGTTGTTTTTTTCTGACCAGCAATAGAAGGAAAAACTCGACCGAAATGGTTTAGTGAAATCTCTATGACAGTGCTAACCCGACCTTGTAGCAGTGCTGAACCTTAACATCACAGTTATAAAGAGAGATATTAGCTGACGATCTCAAGTACCGGCATGCAAATTACATGAGAGTTGAAAGGATACTCTTTATTTCAACTGCGGCGTTCTTCTTTGGAAACAAATACACTTTGCGGTGAACCGGAGTCGTTCACGTCCTTTTTGCGGTACAAACAGAACATTTTCGTCGCATGCTATCTCAAACTGCTATAACTAGAAAACGTATCTGTGTGACGTTTTGAATTCGTATTAAACAGAAAAACAAAAAATTGTAAACCACTATATTTTTTTTTTAATTTTTGCGTATGAGATATTGTGATCTCATACCTGTAAACCAAATGTCCCCTTTTTTAGTTTTTGTGTATGAGATACTGTGATCTCATGCCTATGACCGAAATGAATGCTTTACTGAACCTGAAGATTTCATATTAAAGCAACTGCAAAAAAATGTTCATGCTATAGCATGAATAAGTAGGGATTTTGGGTACATTGTTCTGATATCTCCAATAACGATATCCGATAACATACAATGGATGCACAAAGCAGTCAGCGGAGTGCCACGTATTGTTTTCGGGGGTACCGGAACGATCTACGAAAATTCCCTAATGTCAAAGTTCATTCTACAGCTGTAACACTTAGACACGTACGTATCTTGTTTTAAATATTTATTCTAGACCCACTGGTGCAATGAAGTAACACCGTCTTTTTTAGTGTTGATTCACAGTGAGGACAAAATGGTTTTTGACTATGATTCTACAGAAAACCTTCTTCCAGCGTTCACACACGTCGTTTCGATATGGGCGAACCTCCGTTAAGTTGTTGACTGCCAGAAACATTGAAGCCGGTGCTTCCTTTGTGTAACTCGGCCACATACTTACGCTTGGGCGCTGCGGGACGCTGCGTAAACAAATGAAACAAGTTCACAATATTCAATTCACCTAAAATATGTTGTGTAATTGATCAAAAACTGTATCCAATTGATTTTCTTGGTAAAGCTTTCGCATATGTGTTTTGTTCAGTGTGCGGAGAAACATATACACTTTATTAAAATTTAAAATGGTCAAAAACAAAGATAATATAGCGTCCCGTGGTTAAAACAATCTCTTGCGCATTCGCACTCTAGAGAGTTTCGTTTCAATTGTTTCAGTAGGTCGCTCGTAGTATATGAAGGTACCGACGGGTGCGGTGTGGTGTGTAAAAATATATAATGGGTGTTTCAGCGAATACTGAAAAACGTTCCTAAAATTAGTGTATTCCATGTAAAAATTCTAATTTTGTCGGTACCGCGTTTCCGGAGGTGGCGGACGTCAGAACATTCGCAATAATTACTAATTAGTTTGCTTATTAATTAAACTCAATAATTAACTTATTAATTAGGGAACATAAACATATCGTTTCAATTAAAGACTTTCTGAACCTCATCGTAAAAAACTAAATTAGTAGTTTTCAGAAAGACTGAGCACGTGCGATACGTAGTAGTGCGCTAGAGTTACCACTCGTGGAGCATGTGCAAGGCTGGGGCTCCGATAAAAGACGGAAAAATAGGGCGGGAGCCTTATCGCAAGCGCTAGCCTTGTACCTGCTGCGCGGGTGGTAATCTTAGCGCACTAGTACGCTTCTCACGCGCTCAAAGTCTTCCTGAAAATGACTGATTTAGTGGCTTCCGATGACGCTCAGCAAGTTCCTAAATGGAACCATATGTCTATTTTCACTAATTAAAAAGTTAATTAGTCATTTAAATTAACCAGCGAACTAATTAGTAAGTTTCACGCTTTTTCTAACGTTTGCCACCGCGAGTAATTCGGTCCCGAGAAAATTATATTTTTACCGCGAATGCACCCATCTTAGGAAGTTTGGTCATTCTTCGCTAAAACTTCCGGTATATAGTATTTCAATCTCTTTTCGTAAAAAAAAAAAAAAAAAAAATTAAAAATTGCTCACTGGACTGTTTAACTTGAAATATCTTTTTGGTGAGTGTAAACTAACTCCTCAATTAAGTTTTGTGTTAAAAAAAGCTCGAGGTACACCCGCCGGCAATATGAAGGTGAACGCCGGACCATCGACCGCTCCGTGCTATCAGTGCGATGAGGCGGCTGTCGTGGCGCCTCGCTGTATTATCGCGATAGGAAGGTGAACGCCGGACCGTCCACAGCTCCGTGCTATCAGCGCAATGACGTGACTGCCACGGCACCCGAGTCAATCCGTTGATAGCACGGTTGACGGCCCGGCGTTCACCTTCATATAGCGCACGACTGTACACTTCAGCATTTCTTATGAGTTGTGAATGCGAAAGCATGCAAGCCGCTCGTCTTCGCTATCTTTGTCGTCTGCTCGTCCGCTCCCTTTGTCTTCTGCTATGGTGCCTGGAACGCGTCTCCGACTGGTATGTTTACCGCGGCCAAAAAAGTGGTCCCTCGATTTCCGCCTGATGACGTCATAAAAGTGTCATGCTGTCGCCGGTCGCGACCCTGGCGGCGTCCCAACAGTTGTGGTACAAATAGCAGACGCCTATTCTGTTGCAGGTAGCTCTCCACTGCGACAGTTCACGGAAGTTAGAGCAGCCGGAAGTTGGGACGCCTGGGACGCCGTGACGACAGCGTCACTCGCGTTCCCTCGTGCTTTTCGCCAGCATTTCTACGGCCAACCGCCAGGATCGCGACAGGCAACAGCATGACACTCCGGCTTCTGTGACGTCATTTGTTGCCACTTTGGGACCACTTTTGATGTATGGCGGGATAGGACGCTAAACACACCAGTCGAGGACGCGATCCAGGCACCATACTTCTGCTGCGTACTAGCCCGCGCGCGCTTCGGGATCTCGGATGCCATGGCGCAGCGGCCAATGGGGGCACCGTTGACTCGCGCCAGCCAATGGAACCGAAGGCGAATCGCTCCTATTGGGATCGCGGAAACCAGGAGCCGTTTTCGCGCTTCAAACAGATGACATCAGCTCGCTCCATGAGACAGGTAATGCTTTCGCATGAAAAGTATAGGAATTATAACTGCGAGTTGGGTGAAAATTTATACCGTGGATTACGAAAAAAATCGCACAAGATGAGTGGCATACAGGATAGAGCGTTACTTTCAAGTAAAATGTATTAGCATGCACATATAAATATTGTAAAGACTGCACGTGCGCAAAGGGGATACACTTAGATTAAAAAGCCGTTTGTACGTCTTTATACTGCGAGCGATATACTCAAACAATTAACGGGTTTTTAGTCTAAGCGTATCCTCTTTGCGCGTGTGCCGCTTCGCTATTTTATGTGCATTCTAATAAATTTCAATAGAAAGTTGCGCCCCGTTCTTTTGCGCCACTGATTTTGTTTTTATTTTGTTTGCGTAATCCACAGTATGTATAGGAAATATAATGAATTAAGCTTGAGGCCAAAGGATGAAAAATCGTAAAGAAATACGTCACCTTACCCTGATTTTGCGAATGATGTAAGCATCGTAGCAATGTCCTTGCTGAACTTCTTGTCTTCGTCAGTGTAGCCAGCATCGTCGTTAACAGGTAGCGTCAAAATAATGGAACATCTGAGCAGTGAAGAGCGCGCATCCAAGGCGGAAAACCGTCATTCTATGATACAGGGGTGAAAATGGAAACATAAACAAGGCCGCCTCTTGCTGCATGCCTTTTGGCAAAGAACTGCGCAGGGAAGTTGAATGCCCTGTCCGACAGGTAGTCTACGTAAGCCCGTCTCAATATTTGTTTCCAGGAGGTACATTATAGTTATACTTTTGAAGCAAACTGGTTACGTCGGACTTAATCCAGGACAGCACCGACTTGGGGATTCCGTGTCCAAAGTTGTCCTGAGTGAGGTCCTCCAGTGATTCTTGCAAGAGTTCTGGGGCCTGAGACACCTGATGCGACCTAGCTACATCGTCGGCCGTCACTCCCGTGAGGATCTCAACGTCTTGGAAGAA